AGACTGAATAGAAATTGTGTTAAACCTGTGGTCTGTGTTGTGACATCTGGGAATGGTGAGGGTTCGCACATCTCAGGTGTCGGCGTATGACGTGGATGATGAAGAAAACACTAGGGTTGCTAGGAAACCAGAGTTTACCTGATCATGTGACATGAGATCAGCGAGACAGTGCTGTGGGTAATTAGGGCTTAAAGTTCCAGAAAAACTGCCCTTTTTGAAAAACAAAAACAAAAATGGGATATTTTGAGGTGTTCTAGGGAATTTAAACAAAAGTACTAAAATGATTACTCAGTTGAGGACTAATTTAAAAGTTTCACTGAGAACGAGTTTGATGCACTGCAAAACCCTGCATATTATATGGGTTTCATACTTGGAAAATTCCATCATTCTTGCCAGTACAAGAAAAGCATCTAGACAGTCCTGGTGTTAGGTTTGTGATGGCCTGAAAGAACATTCAGCTCTGTCTGCAACTTTCTAACACCATTAGGCCACCTTATCTGCACCACGAGATGTTTGGGTCACTTTTAGGGGTGTAATATTGTATCGTGGAACAGTATATCATAATTTTAAACAATGGACAATATTCATCATAAAGAAAATGATGAAAAATAAATTTGAATATCAGGTCAAGACTCCCATGTAATTTATGTTATCACAATAGGAGGCAAGAAGCCATATCTTCTTTTTTAACCAACCTGCTATTGACCCTGACATTCACGAGGGTTAGCCATTAGCCATATTCTAATCTAATTACACCCAAATCTACAGAATAAGGGAAATGTTTGAAAACTGTTGTGAATTTACATGTCTAAGAAGAAATAAATAACTGATACTTGTTTTCATTCTCACTGTTTTTGTGAGTGTCCTGAATCGTGAACTGGTTGTATCGTTACACTCCTACTATGTGTTTAAGTGTAATAATAATCTAAATTTGTTTGGCTGTCAACTGTGCATGTATACACTACATGTGTTTTGTTGCTCTTTAAAATGTGAGCATGGCTCTGGACATGGTAGTGTCTGTTTTTGAAATGTTGCAACTGTTACAGCTGTTGAATAGATTGTCATGAAATTTTGAAAAGACATTCATGAACCCCAGAAGATAATTTGACTCACTCTGGCAATACCTTGACTTTTTGTTTAGTCAGTACTTTCACTAATGCAGTGAAATATCTAAACACATACTAAGTAGATGGATTGGCATAAGATTGTGTGATTTTGTGTATGTACATGGTTCACAGACGATTTGAGTGACACTGATGATCCTTAGACTTGCGTATCTCTAGGTTTATGAAGTTGACATTTCTATTAATATCTTCATAAATATTTGATTGTTGTGAACACAGACATCCATGGTGCCCTGAGCATCAGTTGAAACCTTGATCCCCAGAAATTTCATATAGCTGCCTATGTTAACATGGTAAACTAAGATGTGAGGATAGTAAACATTAAACCTGCTACACATCAGCATGTTAGCATTGTCACTGTGAGCATGTTGCCATGCTAGCATGGTGGACATCTAATATTGTTCATTATGTTTTTGTGAAGTGTTCTCCTTTCTCACAAATGTAACTGAAAATCTTGATTACAGTGACAGTTTTTCCTGGAATATTACTGAAAGATGCCTGGATGTTGCCCCTGTGCTCAACTAATGAGTGATCTTTGGTCTATATTTAGATATTTGCTGGATATGTTCAAACTGTCACCTATTATTTGGATTTCAAGCATTACTGATTCATTAGCGAAGGCTGGCTTTGCCATATTTTTGTCTTTCATTCCTTTTTAACGCTCTGTTGGCCATGCCCCTTAGTGTGTAGTATGAAGGGAGTCTGTTTTACAATAAAATAAACATGGGAGGGATTGCTTGTAATTGGTTCCCTCAAGCTAAATGATGCAGAATGATGTGCACTGCATGAAAGAAGAACACAGTAATGTTTGCATGACACATGTGTTACTGCTGTAAATCTCACACAGTGTTTTGTATACTTTGGAAGTCACTCACTATTGTCTAATATCTCTTGTGTATGATGGAGGGAGTATCAGCTGTGGAGGAATTCAGCTGGGCTATTTTTACTCCCCACAGTGAGGCTAGTTGCTATGGTGTTGCCCATTGGCACTGTTGCTGTGCTGGCACCTCAGTGTGGGGTGTGGTGTGTCCATGATGAGCAGTGCCACAGATCCACATCAGAGTGACTCATATCCTCAGAACTCTGCTGCCCTACATCTGAGTATGCATGCACATGCCCACACATACAAACTCAGAGACATTTAACAATACTGTGTGAGCAGTAGAAAAATGGCAAAAGTTTTCATTCTGTGATTTGATGAGTTTCATGGTGGAAAATAAACTCCATGTATGTCCCATGTTAATTTAAATATGTTTTCCAGTCAGTGTAGTTGACATGACTAAAAAAATGACAGTTGGCTGTTTACATTCAGCACCTTTACACTGAGGCTTAGGAAACACCAGTAAGCCTTTGCACATAATGTGATTAAATGAGGAAATGTGATATTCTGCTATTCTGATTCCCTGCTCACTTCTTTTGTGAAGGTACTTGCTGTGTAGAATGTTTGGATGAAAGGATTTGTTTTGACAGGGAGTGTAGTGTTATTGGTAAGAACAGGAAGGTGTTGCCTGTGAAGCTGTGATTAAAGCTGGCCCCACACTACAGGATAATTAGTCCAATTTGCCCTTCCCAACAATCATGGGGGCGTTTTAGGCCCTGAGGCCACTTAGAAACAATTCTCAGGCCAAATGATCCTATAGTGTGAGGTGTTGAATGACCTAATCATTATGCCACCAACAGGATCGGAGGGCCCCAATCTTGAATCCTCTAGTGTGGGGGCGACAGCAATTAATGTGTCTGGGCACTGCTGATGTTAGTTACAGCTAACATTAGCTATATTAGCTATAGCCTACCTGTAGCTAACATTAACATTTGCTGCAGCAGACCTCTGCCACACCAGCATAACATTCATTAAAAGTGACCTTTAACGTAACTCAGTTCTGTGAGTAGAGACACCAGTAGAGAGAAGCACAGCAGTTTGAGAGCTCCAGCTGAATTTGGGGAAGCCACTGCAGTAACTATGCAGCCATGCTCAGTAGAAAGAAGCCCGATGCGGACAGTGGCTCAGGGGAGAAGGCCGTCGTCTCCTCATGGGTCTTAGAGTATGCAAATCACACTCTCCCCTTAAAATCCTCCCCTCCACAAAAAAGTGAAACTGAAAAAAAAACCTTTGGCATTGAAAACCACTGACATGGACAAAAAACAAAAAATAAACAGAAGATTTGGCACCATAGGCCCAGCCTAAGTTAGATTGTAGGAGGAGGAGGAAAGTAGGTCATTGGGCCAGCAGGTCAGTGAAGCACAGATGACATCACAGTTATACAAGTCCTGCTCTGGCTTACACAAGGCTCACTCTGTGCTGTTGCTACTGCTGATACATGCTGTTAGCTGCTAACGATTTCCTTGCTGCTCTTCTTCTGCTCTCCTTTCACTGTCTTTGTTGAAGTTTTTGGCAACTAGAGTTTCTTTTTGCCCTTTGTTTTGTCATGAGCTTTGCTCTTTTTAGCTTGATGTTTAAGATGCTGGACCACAGTGTGCTTGTCTTTCAGCAGCTGCAGAGCCTGTAGATAAAGCTCTTTATAGTGCTGCCGAAAAGTGTAGTTGGCTGTTTGTGTTGACAAATCTTTCATCTTAGATAAGACACCCATTCTTTGTAACTTGTCTGAAAAGAGTCACACCCAGCGAGTAATGATATTACAGCTCATAGCAGAAAGTCAACGGGCCATGATAAAACCTCATCACTGTTTGTCATCTTTGTTTCTCTTTTCGTGTCTTAACATGAAAGTGTAAATACTCAAGAGTACTGACTCCCATTTCTTGCTTTGATGAACCTGGCACTGAATCACTCTAAGACACAAAACCATTTTTTTCTTCTTTTTTTTAAAAATAAATGACAGCACAGCATAAACACGGAGGGTTTCCTCACAGACCGGTGTGTGTTTCCAGACTGTGATGCCTGAGATTCAGTATGCAGTATGAGTATACTGTAAATACTGTATGTATTCACAAAAGGTCCTAGAAAGGCAAAACGTCCAGCAACACGTATGTGTATAGAGCAACTACACACTGCAATTGTTGCTGGACATTTTGCCTTTGCAGTTTGTTTTTCCCTCGTCTGTCTACCTTGACAGTGGGTGAAGTTGGACCAGAAATTTCTGCTTTCACTTAAGATCTGAAAGGTTGGCACTGGTGTATTTCATTCTGCTAGTTCATTATGAATTATGTTTTTGCAATGTATATACAAACACTATTTATTGTTCTAAAGTTAAAACAACAGTTTCAAGTGCTCTTAAATGTGAAAAAACAAAATTAGACGAAGTAGACATATTAACATAACATCAAGGAACAGATGTCTGTTTTTGTAATGTGTTTACTGGCTGCTTTGATATTTCAGGGACCTCCCTTGAAAGTGAATGTGGGATTATTCCAGTTATGTATAGCAGATGTGTTATGCCGTTTGGGTTTGCCAGATGTTGTTTCCAATTACAGATGTCTGTTTTTGTAGAAGCCCCTCAACCATGAAAAACTAAACCAAATTTTCAGTCAGAATATGCTGTGCCGTGGTGTGTGGAAATGATATGATAGTTTACAAGATTAACACTGAAGGGATTTTTTTTTCACCATCATATTATGGGAGGAAAACCTCCCATATAGGTTGTGGCAGTAATTGGTTCATTACATAACTAGGTCAAATATTTAGGCTAGAGACCCAGTGGGCCTTTTCCTTTTAATATGACAATCTATTGTAGGCCTGCCTGCACAAGGAGAGCAGGCAGAGGTCACAGCCTGCCATTTACTGCCAGCTGTTGGTGCCCCTTCATATTTAACTGTTTCCTGCATGTCATGTTATGTGACTGGGCATGAGTGAAGTCTGGCCACTGTATAAATAACATTCTAATTCTTGGCAAATTTTATCCCTCCTCTCTAATATTTCAGAGGACACTACAAGCTTGCTGCTGTACCTTTGGCGTGTGTCTCCCAGCTCCACTGCTATCCCATCACACAAAGAGTGCCCCACAGTGATCTGCTTCAACCAACCCAGACCCCTTAACTTACCTAGCTGGGACACAGCCTGACTGCTGCATGACTTTGCGTTTAGCTCAGCAGGTAAAGCAAAAGTCTGCCACAGAGCAACATGTGTTAGCTGGCCATCCTGACTCCATGGAGAACATGCTTGTGTATATAAAATGTCCCATGCTATCTCCCATATTAGTGTGTCTTATTGTGTGGTAGGGTTATAAATAACCACATCTTATGAGTATGTCTTTGATCTGTAGCCAATCTCACTTTGGTGCTGCATTCTACATGTCATTAATTAAATTCATCAAAGAGTTAAGACCGGGCTATTATATTTATGTATACTGTACACTCAGTTGGCAGTTTATTAGGCACATCTAGCTTCTGTAGGTCAGTCTGTCACAACAATCATGCAAGAAATGCTCCCTCATGAAAGTGATAATGTTCAGCTTTTGTTGAAACAGTATGTTGTCATCAAAAATATAAATAATTTTGATACGGTACAAGAAAATTTGTAAAAAAGCAGTTATAAAATATAGATATTTGTAATTACTTGTATTTGTTTTCGCTGTATGATTTCAATAAAATGTAAAAAGCGGCCCCTGCATAAAGAACTGGAACTAGTTCATTCAGCTTAATTCATTTTTCCTAGTTGATAATGGGGTTTAGGAGAGATTTGGGAGATAAGGCGAGTTACGTTACCATGTTCATTGATTGGCTGTTACACATCTGATGGGGCTGGATTATAGAGTTGTTGTTTTTTTTTCAAGAATAGCATCTCATTGTAAAAAATGATCATTGACAATGTAGTCACACAATATGAGGCTTTATCTCTGTTGTACCTTCTATGTAATACTACTATAGACCAGTGCTGTCTGTGTCTGTTGATGGCAAAGTTAAGCAAATAAGAAAAAGATAAATCATGCAATTAATGGTTGCTAAGTAAAATGTAATGTCCAATATGCTACATATTGGACAAATCTAGGGCAAATTGATGACATTGCAAAATGAGATATTTCCAGGGTCTCCATCTGTTTGTACTTTATTAATGATGTCATGGATATTTTTCCAATCTCCCATAGACTCAGATGTAGCTGCCATGTGCCAGACTCGCACCGAAAGCAGCCGAAAAACTGAACTCATTGAAGACCTTTTGGAAAGTTTCAGTGACTCCCCTCCAAAACTGGTGGAGCTCCACACTGTGTCCACCGAGACCCTCATCATCCAGCAGCACTTTCCTCATCATCTCATAGGACTGGCTGTACTGTCAGCAAGGTAAAATGTGAATTTGGATCGCAACTGTTTTGAATTACTAGGAAGTAATAGAGCTGTTGCAAGCGGTTGTCATTTTTATGTGTTTTTTCCCCCAAAAGGTTAATTCACAAATGTCTCTCTCACGATTAAAAGACCCATCTCTGCTCCCCTGAACAGGATACAAAATGACCTCAGGCACTGACCGGTGAGTCAGATGTGTTCAGTTTCCTGCATTAGGTTTGTTTTTATTATGAATTTCTGTTAATCATATAGTCCATAAAATGTCCAAAACCCCATGTATTTATATAAATTATTTTGTAAAGAAATAATTTAAAATAATTATCACATTTGCCACGTAATTATTATTGATCAACCTCAAAATAAAAACTAAAGAAAAACAAAATAAAAAAAACATTAGGAAGGGCTCTTTCAAAAAGGTTACTGGGGAATGAATATTCAAGGCTCTGCTCCCGCTGCCGGTGTGTTTGCTCTACAGGGATGACAGCAGTATCTTTGGCTTAATGGAAGAAGATGAAAAGGACAAAGCAAAACGGTGAGATCCCTATGGCTCGTCTTCAGATGAAAGACATTCAGTGATCTTAAAAACATCCTCCATGATATTACAAGTTTAGTTTTTATGAGACTTGATTTTATATTTCTGTGGTTATTAAAGCTCTACTGAGTAAGATTTCCCATACACCTGACTTAGCTGCTTTTACCATGAAGTAGGGGTACATCAGATTGTTCCATACCCTTGTTGCCCCAATTAAATGCAGCTGCAGTCACATGCTTTTACCGGTGCCCAGTCTAGATATTGGAGAAAGAATTTGTTAACTGTGCCTAAATTCATAGAGTATCCCGTAACAAATCGGAGAAGAAACGCAGAGACCAGTTCAATGTCCTCATCAAGGAGCTGGGTACCATGTTGCCAGGCAACACCCGCAAGATGGACAAGTCCACAATTTTGCAGAAGAGCATTGACTTTCTGCACAAACATAAAGGTGAGGAACACTCGTGGCTGCTAGAGAGCTGCATTAAATGGACTTTGATTTACTTACTGTATGTTGCATCCTCTTCAGCTAAACCTCTTTGCATGTGTTATGTCTGCTTTATTAGAAATTGCTGCTCAGTCAGAGTCAACTGAGATCAGACAAGACTGGAAGCCTCCTTTTCTTAGTAATGAAGAGTTCACTCAGTTGATGTTGGAGGTGAGGCAGTTTTTCCACATGCTTTCCTTTTGCTTACATGTAATATGAGTGAATTAAAAGTATATTTTGTTCCTGTTAGGCATTGGATGGATTTTTTCTTGCAATTATGACCAATGGAAATATAATCTATGTCTCTGAGAGTGTGACATCCCTACTGGAACACTTACCTGTGAGTATAATGTGTTTTAAGTTCTGAAATAATGAATGGATATTACACTCTACCATCTTAGAAAATATCATTAAAGGCAATGGTCACATTAACAGTGTTATCTATTTGATATAGTGTTTAAAGCTACTGTATACATGCTCAACGATGCATTAGTGTTACAGATATTGTATGTGTTTCAGTCT